AGCCCGCACGCGCAGCGTCTAGTGTGGCTCGGATCAAAAACCCTCCTTCTCCTTGGCAAGGCTGACGGCGGCAATGCGATCGCTGAGCTCCTTGAGCTGCGAACGGAGAGCGACCAGCTCGTCCGAGGTCGAGGGGTTCGAGGACGGGGTGGGGTTGGGTGGAGTGGCAGTGGACGCGGCTGCTTGCTGTCCTCGCGGGGGCTTCTTGCAGTTCTGCTGGATGTGGCCCTTCTCGCCACAGTTGAAGCAGGACCGTTCCTCAGGTCCACGTCGGTCCGCTGCCACTCGTTCACCACGGCGGCCCCAGCCCTTGTTCTTGGGCATCGCCTCGGCGCGTTCGGCCAGTTGCTGGTCCATGCGCAGGGCGACCTTCTGCGCCTTCTCCAGTGTGTCGACCTCGTGCGCCGTGACCGCGAACTCGTTCTGGATCTTGTACGGCAAACCATCTACATAGCGCGCCCGCTTGTCTTTGTCGGAGAGCGGAGTGCGTGCCGCGATAGCGTTGAAGTTCGCTGTGTAGTCCTTGGCTGTGCCGAGCTTGTGCGATGCCTTGCACAGCTTGACGAGTTCGGAGAGTGCGGCCTTCTTATTGTCGACCGCACAGAAGTGGGCCTTGAAGGCCGTCTCGAAGGCACCCACGTTCGACCAAACAACCTTGCCGTCGGCGAGATCGATGATGTGGGGCCCAGCCCATCGAGCGGCATCATCCGTCAACTTGTTCAATGCCATGATCCATGCGAGGTTGGCCGCGATCGATGAAGCTACCAGCTGCATATGGTAAAGCTTGGCCATGGCAGTGAAGCGGAGTCCGGCCTGAGCTTCCTTGCCATCGTAGTCCCGAGGTGCGAGTTGGCTGAGAAGCTTGGAGTCGATGGCCGACATGGTGGGGGATGGACTACGAGGGGATTGCACGCTTGATTCGGAGCGTGATGGGTTTCGTGGGGGTCTCGGGGGTGGTTCAGTGGTTTCCGGAGGTTCAAACGCACCTGGAGCTCGTCGTTCTAGACGATTGGTGACGAGCGAGATGGTGGTGTCGAGTGGGATACGAGATCCTCCGGCAGGAGATTCAGTTCGGGGGGAGCCGCCTGGGCTAGGGATACGGCTTGGGGCACGGGTTGCTGAGCGACTGGGCTGTCTAGTCCCTGGTAGGCTGATGGACACGAGTACAGCTGCTCGTAGCGGCCATCCTGACTCAGTTGTCGTTGGGAGGGGAGTCGCTAAGCGAACCTGGATGAGCGCGCCTTGTTCCTCCTCAGGTCGTATGTGGTGTGGGAACTGGGACCAGTCGGTATCGCTGTCGTCCCCGTTGTCCAACCGGTGAGGGCAGGGTTGGCTCGGGCAGATGTGCCACTGCTGATAGTTGAGGTTGTAGTGTTGGTCTTCTACGGCGACAGGATGAAAGCCATGGAAAAAACGAGCTACAATCCAGGATGGAAAGGTGGGGGAGACAGTGATAAACGGAGTGTTAAACGTGGGAGGGCGCTGGTGCCTGTGAGGTAGTTTCGACCTAATGTTACGACTGACTGTCGAGCGAGTGAGTGGAGACGAGCGAGGCAGGCAGGAGCGCCGACGAGCTCTGATCGCAGTGAGACTGGAGCGGAGCTCAACAGGCAGGACTGGAGACAAGGGGTGTAGGACAATAGCGGACGTGGGGACAAAGGGAGCTATTGTCCGTGTGTGGACAAAGGGAAACCGTAGCGAGTAGTGAACAATAAGGAAACGTACGAGGCAGTGGTCCGAATCGAAAAGGAAATGTAGCGCCGTGAGGGCGGTTCGTGACAATGCTGCCTGCCATGCATGCGCTGTGGACTGTTGTGGTGCGCTTTGTCGCTGCCTACAGTGCCACAGAGAGGTAACCTATGTCGGCATGATCTCTCTCTGCCTCGACTGCGTTCTTTGAAGGCGTGTGGCTGACAAGTCTCCCTTCTAGAACCATACCTCTTGACACTATGTCTGGTGCTCTCTACAGTGCTGTCCCTACCGCCTTTGACGGCCGCAACTACCTCGAGTGGGCGCAGCCGATGAAGTCGTACCTCAAGGCACAAGGGCAGCGGGGTTCGATCATCAACACCCAGCCTACCGATGCCGA